ATATATTTAAATTAAAAATATAATAAAATCAAAAAGAAAAAATAAAAAAAATACAATAGATATAAAATAAAAAAATAAAATTAATATATAATTGAAAATAAAAAAATATTTGATAAAAAAAATTAAATAAATTAACATGTAAAATATATATAAAATAAATATGAGTGAAAAAAAATTAGTTTTTGTAATATATTAAATATGAATATTAAATATGAATATATGTAAAATGATATTTAAAATTTTAATAAAATATAATTTAAATAAAAAAGACAATAAATTATATTTATTTATTTTATTTATTTATTTTATTTATTTATTTTATTTTTTTATTTATTTATTTATTTATTTATTATTTTTTTTTGTTTTAATTTTATTTACTCATACAATTTTATTTTTTATTAAATAAAAAGTCTTAATAATATCTTTTTTAATTTTTTTATTTAATTTTCTTTTTAACTTTTCCATTTTATATAATTATTTTCATTTTAATATTTTTCATTCTTAAAATTAGTCAAAATTTAAAAATATATTTTTTTTTTATTTATTATTTACATTTTTTTAATATTTTTTTTTTACATTTATATATTTTATATTTTTTTATCTTTAACTAAAAGTTGTAATACTAGTTTTTTAAAGTATTCATTAATTTTTTTTTTAGAATTATTTATAAAATTAAAATATAATTTTTATATTTTATTTTATTTAATTTTAAAACTTATATAATAACAGAAAATTAAATTAAAAATATTATTATTAAAAACATAATAAAATATATAATATTATAATTATAAATTATATTATTAATATTTATAAATTATATTATTAATATTTATAAATTATATTATATAATTTTTGTTAATATTTTTTTCAAAAAATTATTTTATAGTTTTTTATATATAACTATATACATATATAATTAATATTAATTAATAATAATCTATAATATTTATCTTTTTAATAAATTATATTTATAATATTATTAATTCATTTTTTTTTTATCTTTTTTAAATAAATTTAATCTAAAAATTAATATTGTATTTTCCATTTTTTATATGTTTTTTTGATTTGCTTATTTTGTAAAATATAGAAATTATATATGAAAATAATATAAAATAATAATTTATTAAACTATTTTCTATATATTTTTAAAATTAATTATTAGTTTTAAAATTAAATAATTAAATATATTGATGTTTATTTATCTTCATTTTTTTAAAAACGCGAACGTGATATTATGGATTAATTATATTGGAAGTTAAAGAATAATAGAATGAAAATTAATTTAATAAAAAAAATTAAAAAGGTTAATAAAACCAAAATATTTTTTTCGGGATATATTTTTTCTTCTCTTATTTTAAATGCATCTAATAATATAATTTATTTAACTAATCATATATAAATTAATTTAAATATTATTTTATTAAAATGTTTTTATTAATTATTAAAATTAATCTAATTTTATTTTTTTAGAAAAAAAATTCATATTATTATAATAATATAAAAAAATTATTCACATTAATATAAATCTATATTAAAACATGAATAATGTATCTAATAAGAAGGGATTAAATAGTTATACCCCAATATTTAAAGCAACAAACAATTTTAATATAAATAGTAAAAATGATGAATAAATAGAGTAAATGTTTCTAATAAAAGATAAAGATACAGGTAAGAAATATGAATAAAAACATAATTTTTTTAATAAATAAAAAAAGGTCAAACTTATGATATTCGAAATATGTAATAATATGACAAACTTTAAGAAGCTAATAAAAAGGAATATTTTGATACGTTAAAAAAATCTCATAAGAATGCATGGTAATAATGGTGGACTTAAAAAAAACAAAACAATTTTTCTTTAATTTAAAATGTAATTAATAATTAATTTTAAGCAGTTGAACATATACTTTAATAAGAACGCTAAGATTTGAGGGCAGATCCAGATTATAAAGACAGTAATTAATCAGCAAGTATTCATTATGCAACCTTAAATAATAATATTAACATATTGAATTTGTTAATATCTCATAATGCAGACATTAATTAATAAAATAATTTAAAACAAACAGCATTAATGATAGCCTCTTAAAAGTAAAATAAAATTTGTACAAATATAAAATAAAACTTATAAAATATAAAAAAATAATTTTATAAAAAAAAAGAAACTACCATATAATTGTTGATATATGCATAAAAGCTGGAACAGATATAAATATATAAGATGCAAAATTAAATACAGCTTTACATTATGCATGTGAAAATAATAGTATAGAAAGCGTTAAAATTTTATTGAATCAAAAGAACATATAAACAGAAATATAAAATTATTAAAAAAAAGTAGCCTATTAAATGTCTTCCAATCCTGAAATATAATTTTTATTTGATAAATAGTAAACTGTAAATGAATAAACTATAAAAAACTAAAATCTAATAAATTTAATAAAAAATAAATCCTTATAAAATGAATAATAACAATTTTAATAAATAAAACATGTGAAAAATAATTCATGTTATTAACCAGAAAAAGGAAAATAAATTTCTTTTCAGATTTTTTAATCAAAACCAGTTTCTTAAAACACTTCCAAAAGAAATTCTTCCTAAAATATTCATTATAAAAATGATTTTTTAAACGCTTTTACTTATAAACATTCAAGTATTAATTAAAAAAAGCCTTCTTAAATGGAGTTGAAATCTTCTATGTAATTCAATCCAAAGCAATAATAAAATATAACATAAATATCAACATATGAAACAAATTATAATATAAATAATATAATATCAAACGACTAAATAAACCTTTCATCAATAAGAGATTCACAAAGTTCAGCTGATTCCAGAAATATTAATGAAATTAATTAAAAATTAGGGCCTAATAACTTTCAAATAATATCATTATTAGGAAAAGGAGCATTCGCTTAAGTATATTTAGTTGAATTAAAAGAAGAAACAGAAACCAATCAAAAATAATACTATGCAATGAAAATAATTGAAAAATAAAAGATAATAAATAAAAATTTAACAAAATATGCTATAACTGAAAGAAATGTATTAAGTTCAATAAACCATCCATTTATAGTAAAATTAATATCTGCTTTTTAAACAAATAAATACTTATTCCTTATTTTAGATTATATGCCAGGAGGGGATCTTAGTTAAGCAATTTAAAATGAAAAAAAGTTTCCAGAAAGCAAAGCAAGAATTTATATAGCTGAAATTTTGTTAGCAATTTAGTATTTGCATTCAAATGGAATAATTTATAGGGATCTAAAACCTTAAAACACTAGTATTAGATTCTTAAGGTCATGCTATGTTAACTGATTTTGGGCTTTCTAAAGAAGGAATTTATGATAATTTTTAAGCCAATTCATTTTGTGGATCAATTGCTTATTTAGCTCCAGAAATGCTTAATAGAACTGGGCATGGAAAAGCAGTTGATTTTTATCATTTAGGTATTTTGCTTTACGAAATGTTAGTTGGGATTGTTCCTAATAACGTTTAATTCGGAGAATAAATTTACTTTCCAAATTATGTTTAAACTCATGCTAAAGATTTAATATTGAAAGTTTAGCTTTATATATTTTTTTTTTTATTTTTTTTTATTTTTTAAGTTATTAGTAAAAAATCCAGATTAAAGATTAGGTAATAATCCTGATGATTTCGAAAAAATAATTTAAAAACATCCTTTTTTTATTAACATTAACTGGGATTTAGTTTTACAAAAGTAATAAAAAAAATTATCTACTATTTTATTATTAATTTTTTTAGAAAATTAGACCATGTTTCTAATATCCTAAAATAAATAATTAAAATGATAGCTTTTTTGATGGAGATTTAAATTAATATAATTTAGAATAAAATTTCAAGGAATAATAAAATTATATTAAAGGTTGGTCATTTGTTTAGAATGAAAGTATTGATAAGAAAAATTGTTGAATAATTAATTAAAAAATTAAAATATAATATATATAAAATAATATTATTTATTTATATATGTCACTTTTTAAAATAAATTTTGTATATTATATTTTATTATTTCAAAAATGTAAATAGTTTTAATCTTTAGTAAAAAATAAAAATATATATTTAACTCATATCTTTTTTTTCTTTCAAACAAATTAAATTTTAAAATTGCTTGATATAATGAATTATTTTATATCAATCTAATCTAAAACTTCTTAAATTCTTTTATTTTTCTCATTTACTTCTTTTCCCAAATTATAACTATATTTATTATTAGTAAAAATTTTTGAAGTATTTTCTATTAAATTGCTGTCATTATAAAAATCTAAGTCATAAGCTAATTTCAGTTTATCTTTATTAAATATAAAAATTAATAAATTTTAATACTTATAATTTTTAATTTTTTAACTTAGATTATTTATATTTAATCTCAAAAAATATTGATTTTATATTTATTACTAATTAATTTGTTTATCTTAGAGCTTATTATTTTCTAAATTATTATTACTTTATGGAGAAAAAAACTATTATTATTTATTTATTTTAGAGAAAAAGTTTGCATTAAAACTGTTCTAATCTTTTAAAGGAGTTGTTAAATTGCTAAAATATTTAATTTAATAATCTGATTCGATAATATTATTATTATTAAAATTATTACTAGTTTCTGAAATGGTTTAAATTCTATTATATAATAAGTTATTTTATAATTTTTTATTTTATTATTAATTTAAATTAAAAAAATTTTATTTAGTAAATAAAAGAAATTATTGTTGAAGGTCATTAATAACATAATTAATTTATTCTTATTTAGTACAAAATTTATTCAAAATTAAATTCAAATATTGTAATTCTAACTCATCTATTGTAAAAACGGAATTTTAAACTTATGAAAATATAAAATAAAATAATGTATATACATATATAATTATAACTCCATTTATCAATAATATTTTCTTTAATTTACTGCTTAAAATTTTTTTCACTATTAATAGAAGAGATAAGATTATAGAAATCACAAGCGTTAATTTTTTCTAAATTAGAAATTTAAAATTGAGAGACCTAAAAACTTAAAAAATTCATTAAAACTGTGTATTATAAATCATAATTTAAAAAAATTTTAAAATAAATTTCATTTTGGTTTTCTAAAATTAAATTATTATTAAACTTTTTTAATAAAATAGTATCTTTTTATCCTAAAATAAAATGGTCAAAATTTATATTTTATTATCTTTGTCCATTAATTTAAACTGAAAAATAAAAAGATAAAATTGAATCTTTTATAATGTTTTAATAATTCTTTACTGAAATAAGCTTCAAATATATGCTAAATTATGAAATCTCCTATTAAGTATGTAATTAAAAGCAAAATTATTAAAAATTAAAATAACTACTTGAATTTATTATATTCTTTGTTTTCCAAGCAATATTTTTGTGATTTTGATTTAAAGTTTTGCTTTATATTGTTATTTATTTTCTTTAAAGTAGTTCATTATATTTATATTTGCCTTTTACTTGTAAAACTATTTTTACTAAAGACTCTAATTAATACTTTTCTTATACAAAATTTTATTTTATATACTCGTCCAAGATTTTGTCTTATAGCTTTGAACTTACTTATTATTGTAATAAAAATATCTACTTCTCTTCTAAATTTTTTAAATATTAAATACAAAAACTGATTAAGAAATTAAATAGCTTTTAATAAATTATTTAAATATTCGAATTATTATTTGATATTTCGCTGATTTTTTTTTCAAAAAAAACTATATATTCAATACAATTGTAATTTTTTATTAAATTTTAAATATTATACTCTACAAAAAACTATATATATAATTCTGATTTTAATGTTTCACTAAAATGCAAATGTTAAAAAATATTATTTATGCTAATTGTTTATAATATTCCTTACTAATCAAAACTATCCGTTATTATATAACTTTCGAATATCGCTGCATTTACGGTTTCTATTTCTTGATTGAAATATATTTGATTTGTTCCATTATTTTGTAGTATTTATTAAAAAATTTATTAATTTTTGAATATTTATTTATTAAAACAGTATCTTATATTTTTAATTATTAATATTATTTTGTTTTCCATTTTATTTTGTTAAAATAAATAAATAACTTTTTATTATTTTTTTATGTTTATTTTTGTGATTATTTTTTAAATAATAATTTTTTTATAATATTTTTAATTTTATGAAATTATTGATATAATATATTATTTATATGGAAATTTTACTCCATAATAATCTAAAAATCATCATATTATTAATATATATTTAAAATTTTTAAAAATTCGATATAGTTTTTTTTTTTAATTTTTTTTATAAAACTTAATAGACTTTTTTCAGTCGAATTTAAATTCATAAAAAAATTGTAATAAATAAAAAAAATACAAATAAATAATATTTAAAAGTTTGATATTTAAATAAATATGCATTCTTAAAATATAATAAAAAATTAAGATTACCGATTTTTTATTGTTTTTTTGAACTATTCATTGTGCATAATTATTATTGATTACTAATATTTTTTTTAATAAGGCTTGCTTAATATTATATGATTAATTAATATCTTATTTAAATTTATTTTTAAGTATTAAATTTTTGTTATTTTAAAGTAAAATATTACAATATGATTTTTAACTATTTTATTATTAATTAATAGAATTACTTTAAACAATATTTTAAGATATGTTTAAATTTTAACAGTATACTTCAAGTTTTTTCCTATTAATTTTTATTTACTTTTAGTTATTATCAAGTAATTTATATTAGTACTTCATAAAAATTTAATTTTTTGGTATATGATTTCTTTAAATTTTTTTATAATTTTAAATCTATATAGATTTATCAAAATCTGAAAAACTTCTCTTCTAATTTGAAAAAAAGCTTGATTTTTTAATACCAATACGATTATTATTATTTTTATTATTACTATTATTTTTATAATTAATACATAAATTTTTCATAATATTTTTCTTTTTATAATTGTTACTGTAAATTGTAGATTTTCTCAATATTTTGTAAACTAATAATTCTTTTTCTATCAAATAATTATATTTTTTATTAATTAACCTATGAATTTTATTCAATTTTTTAGAAAATTTGATTATTCTATTTATTTTTGTTTCTAAGCATCAATAAATAATATGAACTATATTCATCTTTGCAATATAAATTTTAAAGCGTAAAATTTGAATCTGAAACTTATGTTCCCTATTAATTTCTTAATTATATTTATTTTTATTATAATGAAATTTATGGTAAAATCATTAAAAATAAAATTAAAATATTTATTTTATTTATTGGGTATTAATAATAAATTTATTATTTTTTGATATAAAATCAATTTACTTAAAAAATTATCAAATATATGAAAACAAAAGAGTTTAAATTTAGATTAGTCTTTTTAAAATATATAGATAAAAATATAAATAAATTACAATCTGATACTTTTTTTTCTTTATCTTTATAATCTGCTTTTTCAACAATATAAAAAAATTACAAAAATATAAATTTTTTTATACAATTATAAATTTCTAATTATTTATAAATTATTATTAATAAAACAAGTAATTGAAGAAATCATAAAATAAATTAATTAGTAATGCGAATATGCTATATATTTTAATATATTATATTTAATTATTTTTATACTTATATTTTATATTAATATAGAAAAAGTTTTGGATTTATAAAAAAAAATAGTAATTTAATAGAAAAATATAAATAACTTTTAATACATAAAAATATAATTAATAAAGTATTAAAATAATAAATATGAATTGTTTAAATATATATATATATTTTTAATATTAAATAAAAAAGTAATTTATATTTTATTTTATATAAATAAATTTATTAAGTAATATTTATATTTATTTTATTAAATTATAATTAAAATAGGTAATAATAAAAAAAAAATTTATTATATATATAAAACTATAAAAAATTATTTAACATATTGTAAAAATAATATAAGTATAAATAAATTTTATTTTGAAACTTAAAAATATAAAAGGAATATATTTTCTAATTTAATTGATATAAATATTAAAAATAGTAGAAAAAAGTTAATTTAATTATAATTTTATATTTATTCGATAAAAAAATATTTTTAAGAAATTCTAGAATATAAAATTTAAGATATTAAGATATAAAATTAAATAAAAATATAATAATATAAATAAAAAAAAAAAAAATCTAAAGATAATAAAACATAAAAATAAAATATAAAGATAATTAATTAAATTTAAAATAGTATAAAATATTAAAATGAATATATAATAAATATTTATAATAAATAATATTTAAATTTAAAAAATAAATAAATAAATAAATAAACAAATAAATAAATAAATAAAAAAAATTAATTAATAAATATATATTAAATATATAAACTAATACATATATAAATTATTATTTTTATTATTTATATAAATATTTAAAACTTTATTTTTAATTTTGCTATTTTTATTATTTTTATTTTTTTTTCATTTTTTTTTTTTATAATTTGAATATTTATATTTCAAAAAGGTTTTGTTATATTTTCATGTTTTTTTTAATATAAATTTTTTTATTTCAATTAATAATTTTATTATATTAACTATTTTAAAAAACATATATTTTATATATTTTATACTTTATTTATATTCGAAATTTGAATTTTTTTATAAATTAAAATTTAAGTTAATTTTTATATATTACAATTTTTTTTATCGTTTGATATTTAGTTTTGTAAAATTACATTTGTTTATTTTTATTTTTAAAGGTTTTAATATATCTATTTTATCTTTTGTATTTAAAAATATTAAAAATATCAAAATTTATAAACATATTAAAAAAATCAAATATTTATTAATATTAAAAATATGATTGAATTTTAATAATAATTATATCCTGTAATTAAATAAAATTAAATATTAGACAATAATAATGTTAAAGCTTTTAACTAAACTATAGAAGACTCAATCGAAAAGTCTTAATCTTAAAAAGTAAAAATTTAATATGTATTAAAGAAATTAAAGCTAAGAAATATGGTTTAAAATTTTATAAATTATCTTCCTATAAGACGATTAAATAATTTATAGCCTAATTAATATCTTATTATAAATGATATATCGACAGATACACATTATTAATAAAATTTCTATTTTTAGAATAAAAATCAAAATAAATATATTTAAATAGTATAAAAAAAAATATAATTGATACCTTTGTTTTATCCTTAGAATAAATTTAATTTATTATGGGATTTAATACATATATTGATAATTTGTATATATTTTTACATAATTCCAATTAGCATTTGTTTTGGAATTTTTTTGAAGGATCTATTAAATCATGTTTTTGTTTATGTAAGTGTTTTTGTATTATTTATAGATTTTTTTATTAATTTAAATACTTGTTATTATGAAAAAGGTGAATTAATAGAGGAAAGGTTGTAAATATTAAGAAATTATTATAAGAAGAATTTTTTTACAGATTTTGTAAGTTTTATTTGCTTGCTTATGGGATAAGCAATTTTAATAAAAACTTTATAAAATTAAGTTGCTCAGTATAATTTTTCTTTGTTTCTTTTTTTCTAAAGTTAAAGAATTTTTCTGTTGCTATTCGAAAATTTGAAGAAGTACTTAGAATGAATAAAAAACAAAAAAATATAATTTCTCTTTTAAAATTACTTTCATTAGTTCTCTTTATTAGTCACATGTTTGCTTGTCTATGGGTTTATGTTGGAAAATTTTCAGGAGAACCAATTACATGGATAAAATAAAAAAACGTATTTTAAAAAATATATATAATTTGTAAATATATATTTTCATTTAAAAGGCTTAAAATTAAAATTGGATTCAAATTTATTTATAGGCTTATTATTTTGCTACTGTGACTATGGTAACAGTAGGGTATGGTGATATAACTCCTTAAAATAGTTTTGAAATGTTTGTTTGTATTATAAGTGTATTGATTGCTTGTGGTATTTTCGCATATAGTTTGAGTTCAATAGGAGTAATATTTTAAGAATTGTATGAAGAATAGAAAAAATTTTAATAAAAACTGTTTATTTTAAATAATTATATGGAAGAAAAGAAGGTTAGCTTTTCATTATAATATTAAATTAGAGAATATTTAGAATATTATTGTAAGGAAAATAATTAAAATAATTAAGAAAAAGAATCAAAAATTATTTCTTAACTTTCAGATAATTTAAAATAAAGTTTATTGATTGAAGCTAATAAAATTATTTTATAAAATAATACAGTTTTTAAAAAATATTTCTCCTAAAAACTCTTGTTCAAAATAGTGAATATTATTCATGAAAAAAGATGTACACCTGAATAAATTATATATACTTAGGGACAAAAAGACGATTGTGAAATTTATTTTATATACAGTGGAACTGTAGAAGTTTATGTAGAAACTCCTTAAAAAAAGTATTATTTAAAAAATAGTTTATAATTTTTTTTTTAATTTTTATTTGCAAAAGAAAAATTTAAATTAAAATTCTTAAATAAGGAGATAGTTTTGGTGAAAATAATTTTTTCACTTAAATTAATAGAAGTTATTGTATTAGAAGTTTTGAATTTACTAAACTTTTATATATTAAAAGAGATGATTTCCTAGATTTAATAAAAGATTTTCCTGATGATTACGAAATGTTTTGTATGATTAAAGAGTATATTAATCATAATAGCTAAGAAAGAGTTAATAAAAAATGCTATTCTTGTGGAAATTCTTTTATGCATACTTCTTTTGATTGTCCTTTTGTACATTTTGTCCCCAATAAATATAAAATTATAAAATAAGAATTAATGTAAATATAACAAAGATAGAAAAAGTAAAGACCAATTAAAAAGAAGTATTTTATTTTTACATTTATTCAATTAATAATAAAAATTAAGTAATTCTTTGAAAATAATAGATTAAGTTTATATAAAAGACGTTTGCTTTTTAGAAAAAAATTAAAGCTTTTAAGAAGAAAGCTGGTATTAACATTTAGATTTTTGTAACTCTTAAATGGAAAAAAAGGAAAATTCGAATTTTAACTAGATTTATAAAAAATAATAATAATTAAAAAAAGTAAAAAAATTATATTTTTATTTTAAAATTGACTAAATAAAAAGTTTTAAAGTTATGATAGTATTGATAGTATTTAAATTAATATTGATTAATTAAATATTACAGAATAAAAAATCTAAAATGATTCGTTTATTGAAAATATAAATTTAAAAATAAAAAGCTAATAGGATAAAAAAGAACAGAATAATTATTCGTAATTTTCAAAAGGCAAATAATACGTTTTAAAAAATGCAAACAAATTATTTAGATAAAAACCTTAAAATTTAAGAATTAAACAGATTTTAAAAGAGAACTATATATACAATAAATCTACTGATTCATTAAAAATATGTAATACAAAAAAAATGTAATTGTAAAAAATTAAATTAATAAAAAGAAATTGATAATTTTCATGACAAATTTGAACTATAAAACGAATTTAATATGTCTAAAGATGAAAAAAGTATAAATATTTGATTAAATATTATTATTTATTTATAATATAATATAATAAATAAAAATTAAGTTAAAGATTCATTTTAAAGTAATAATTAAAATATTTCTTTCCTAAAAATAGAATAAGCATTTAAATATTCTTTAGAAGATTTTGAAAAATTAAAAAGGTTTAATCGTTTTTTTATAAAATATAATTATGAGAATGTAATAAAACAATACAATAAAAAAATGTAGGAAAAACTAAAAAAGTTAAATAGAAATAAACCCAGAATAGTTCTAATAAGAAACATATCTTTTATGTAGTCAAATAATTAAATAGTATAAAATTTGAATGTTAACAGCAATTTATTGTCTTGTCAATAAAGTTCTATTAAAAACAATTCTCTTAAATTTAAATTAAAGTTAAATTCTTTGGAAAAAAAATAATAATTATCTCCTAAATAATCAATATTGAATAATAAATATAATTTTTAATTTGAATCTCCATTTTCAAATGCATAAAAATTCTTAAATATTTAAGTTAACCCTTAAAATAGTAATATAAAGTTTCCTAATCATAGAAATTCTCTAACAGTTCAAGCTTAAAGAATTATTACACAAAGGGTTTCTCGAAGTATTGGAGATAGTATTTAAAAAACTTTTAGTAATAAATAAGACTTAATTTATAATTAAAAAAGTATTTAAGAATCAAAATCTTCATCTTCTTCTCCATCAGTTAAAAAAAATAGTAGTAATAATAAAACTTAAAATAATAAAATAACTTTTAATAATTTAAGTGAAGGTAATTAAAAATAAATTTAAAAAAAATCAATTAATTGATAGTTATTTAAGATTATTAAAGTTAGTTTAATTGAAAATTATAAAACTTTTAATTTATTTTATATATGAATAATTGTTTTTCAATGCCTTGTATTTTTAAATAATTTATGTATATGTAATTATAATTATGAAATATACTTAATAATATGTAAAGAAAATATTCTAAAATAATTTACTTATCATAAAATTTTAAATACATTGTTTTAACTTCTCATTTTTTAATATAATTTTCTTTATTATAATTAACAATTTTATTAAACTCGTTAAATCTTAAATAATTAATTTATAGATATTTTATTTATATATAAATCATATATTTAATAATATAATGAAAATATTAATTTTAAAATGATTATAATTTTAAGAATACAATTAAAAATAAAAAAGGTCTTAAGATTATATAAAAACTGTAAAATTTATAAGAGTAATGATTGTCGGAATTTCTAATTTACTTATTTATTTGTTGATTTTTTACAACAAAATAAAAATTTAAAAATGTAGATTATATAATATTAATATTAGTAAATTAAAAAATTTATAAATAAGTTAAATTTTATATTGTTATATATAAAGCTAAGATTATAAATAAGAAAAATTGGATTTTTTTATACAAAAATATATATTATTAAATCAAGTGGTTTTCATTTTTAAATTGATTATAAATTACTAGTTTTATTATTTTAAGTATTAATTTACAAATGGATAGATAATCATCATTTTTTTAAATGCTTCTTTATCACGCGATTATTAAAATAAAAATTATTATTAAATTTGTTATTTATTTGATTAAGTTTTTAAATAAAAAAATCCTAATTCTGATTTAAATTATTTTCTTTTGTTTTAGCTTTTTATTTTAAATAATTTAAACCGCTTGTAATTTAAGAATCATCGAATTATTGTTTTTATAATGGTTAATCAATAACTTCTGTATCATCATCAATTACAATACATTATTCTTTCTAAGAAATTTTATTTTTATTATTATGATTTAACTATTCTAAAGTGCAAAGTTAAACATTTTATATTTAATTTTAATTATCTTAATATATTTATTAAAAAATATTTTAAATTTGTAATTGAAAACTTTGAATTTCTATTTATAAATTGTAAAATTCAGCTTAAAAATGATAATCTTTATACAAATTACCGTTTTATTATAATAAATTTTAGAAATTTATATATTTTTACTCAAGTTAATAATAATGATTTATCTTACTTTATAAATTTGAATCTATTTTAATAAAAAAATTTAAGCTTTTTGATGGCATTTATTATTATATTTCAAAATATTTTTCTTGCATTTGTTAAAAACTTGTGAAATAAAATTTTTATTTTGGCTAAACGTAGCATTAGAAATTATTCTAATTATATATATGGTTTTGATTATTTTAATTAGGAATATATTGGTAATTTATGTATTTTGCTTAATTATTGTATTAATAAAATTCTTTTTAATTATTTAATTAGTATTAACTTTCTTATTAGGGATATAAATATTAATTATTATACATTTTTATATTTAAATTTTTTTTTTTAATCTGTTTTAATTTATTGTTAATATTATTTTTATTTTCTCAGTATAACAAAAAAATTTATAAATATTAAATGAAAAAAAATAAAAAAAAAATGTATATTTCAATTAAGAAACTTATTATTAGTATATGCTTATATAGATTAAATTATTATTTTAATTCATAATAAAACAAATTAATCAAAATGTAATGTACACGTAAATATATGCAGCCATTTCAAATTAATTTTATATATTTGTTAAATTTAAGAAATCATAAATAAATTAATTAAAATAAAGAAATATGTACAAATAAAAAAATTTGTAATTTATAAATTAATTATGTTACATATAAATTTAATAAATATATAGATCTTATTTTTATCTTTTAAATTTTATATCATTTTGTTAATTTTCAAAATTATATTTTTTATTAATTTTATAATTTTTATTTTCGCATTTATTATAATATAAACAAATACAAAAATAAAAGATTATTTATATCTTGCTTCTTTAATAACAATGCTAAATAAAAAAACTAAATATTTTTATAATTATGTATATAATATTAAAATTTTAAAAGCTTCTTGAAAATTATTAAAAATTAAAAAATATACAAGTTTATTAAATTTATATATAAAACTATCATTAATTTTTTCCATATGTATCTTTATTATATATATTTTTTTAAATTATTATATAACTTTATATTTAATATATTTATATATTTTAAAATATATAAAAAGTGAAATAAAAAATGAATATTTTACTTAGTTTACTTCTAGAAAATTATATAAACTTTTAATTATAAATTTTAGATATCTATAACATTCCAAATTTTAAACAATTGAAATATATTAAGAAAAAATCAAATATATTTTTCTAAAAAATTACAAATATATTTATTATGATTTAAAATAATAATATTTTAATAATTAATTTGAAAAAATATTATTCTTCAAATAATTAAAAATATTTTTAATTTTTCTTTAAATATTTAATTGTAATAAATGATTTTAAAAATATATTGTTATATAAAACAAAAATAATTTATTATGATAAAAATATTAGCAATAATAAACATACATATATTTTATAATTTTATTATAATTTTTTTTTTATATATACATATATATATAACTATTAATTATTATTTAAAAAATAAAAATTTTATTTTATTTTAATATATAATGTTACTTTAATTTTAAATATAATAATAATCTATTTATTATTTTAAATCTAAAAATTTATCTATTTTTTTATATTTATTCTTTCTTATTATATAAATTTTATACCATTTTTTTAATATATGTATGAAATTTAACTGATACAATTATTTGATTAAAGATATAAAATTTCTAAAATAAAATTAAACTTGTATTTTTTTATATTTGTAAATTTACTATTAAAAATATTTGAAATTTAAATTTTTTATAATTTTTCTTTTTATATTTTTAATTTTTATTCTTTTTTTATTTTATTAATTACTAATTTTTTTTTATTTTTTTTCTTATATAATTACATAAATTTTAAAATAAAAATAAAATAACCAAATAATATATTTTTATTCATATAAAATTTTTAAGCAAATATATAAAAAAATATATACTCATAATAAAATATAAAAATATTATATTTCAATAATATATTTATTTTATAAATAAAAGATATATTTTTATATTTTAAAATTAAATACTATGTTTATGATTTTTTTTATTTATATTAATAATTAAAATAAAGTAATAAAAAAATGGACTTTATGATAAAATAAAAATTTATTGAATTTCATGAAAATATTAAATTGTTACTTCTTTTAAAGATTTACTGAACTTATTTATAATATTTAAATAAAATAATTAATTTTTTTCATTACAAAAGTAATTTATGGAATGAGAAATATAAATGTGAATAAATAAATTTAGTTAAAAAAAATTTAAATAAAAATAAATTAAAAAAAAATAAAATGAACTAATTAATATTTAAAATAAATATATTATTGATTTAAGAGAATAAAATTATTAAAAATAAAGACTAATTATTTAACAAATTTTATCTTTTTAATACAAAGTTATAAAGATTTTAAAAATATTTATAATTTGTATATATATGTTAAATGCGTAACATTAAAAATTTTCGATTTAATTAAAAAAAAAAAATGAATTAATGAAATTAAATTTTCTATTTATTATTTATTTAATTTTTTATACATTTATTTAAAGTTTTACTTTTCCATTATTTAAATTTTTAAAAGTTTAATGTCTAAAATATTTAATAATCTATATATTGTTATACGAATTCTATTACTTAAATAAATTAATTTAAAATTAAAATATTAATTAAACTAAAGAGATTTCTAAATCGTTTGACTTTTAAAAATTTAATAATATAAAACTAAAAAATAAAAGAAGAAAATACTAATTAAATTATATAATGGATTCTGAAAAGAACTAGTAATTAAAATATTTAAACTTAAAAATTAAATTATTATAAAATTTAAAAATTATTTATTTAAAAAAAAGTATTCATTATTTTTTAGAAATAAACAATTTTATTATATAAATATTTTTTAAATTTCAATCAATATTTGTTATTTCTTATTGTATTTAAAACACCTCTAATAATACTTGGACAATTAAAAGATCTTTCTTTTCCATAATGCGTTTTTTCAACTTCTTCATCAATAAATGATGTTAAAATAAGAGTATTTGAAGCATCATTATAAAGACTTACAAAGAAAGAAGCTGTAGTATAAGATAATAATATAAAAGCCTTTTTAAATTAAAAATTAATAAATTTTTAAAAATAAAGAACTAAAAAATTACAATAACTACAACAAATTCATTAGGTATATTTTAGTAATAAGTTGGAATTTTAATAATAATAATATAACATATAAAACTACTTAAAAAACAAAGATAAAGCTTTGAAATAGTAAAAAAAATTCCTCCTAAGTTTCTTATTTATGAAAATCTTCTATCGTTTCTAATTAATAAATAATAAGATAATTTAGAAGATTCAAAATATGAAAGGCCTGACATAGCAATATGCAAAATAGAATATCTATTTAAGTAACTCATATATCTGTCAAACCAAAAAAAAGAGCATTAGCAACAAACAGATAAATAATAGGCTATATTTTTCTTTATAATTTTTATATTTTTTTAGCATAATTCTTTTTTATTTTATTTTCTAATTTTGTATATATTTTTTAGTTTATTTTTACATTTATTAAATTTCCTATCCTTATAAAATAGTCTAAAAAGGTTACTACTATTGAAGATATTATTAATGATCCTAAATGGTATTTTACTAAAGTTTTTATACTAACCCTTGTTTTTTATTATTATTAAGATATAATATTATTTTACCATATGACATTTTATGTATCTTTTTCTTTTTTATAATACCATTAGCAGCAACTATATGTTATTATAAAATCACTACATTAGACTAAAAAACCTCTAAAAACCAAAAAAAAAAATGCATGTAAAGTTAATTTGAAGTATTAATGAGTTGATAGTTATATTTATTAGAATGGAAGTTAATTTTATGTATCTATTGTATATCCATGAGATAATATATTACTTTTATTTTTAGATAAAGAAAAAAAAAAAATGTTTGTTCATAAATATATTTTTTTTATATACAAACAAACATCTACCCAAAAACAAAAAAAACTTAACAAAACTATAAACAAAATAGGGGGTATAATCAAAATCATTTTATTTTATTAAATAAAATTTGCAGCCAACTTTATATTAAAAAAAAAAATTAATGTAAATATTATTTAAAATAAATTACTTTTAGTTAACAAGAAATGAGTTTTATTTTTTAATTTAAATAAAGAACTATTGAAAATACAGCTAGACCACAAATCCAACATGAAATTGCAGTTAATAAAAAGAATATTTTATAATCTGATAAAAACTAAAGTCTATTTTTAATATAATATTTTTCTTGTGGGTCTGTTTCATTTTCTAATACTCTTTATTTTTTTTCAATTAAAATAATCTAAATAAATATATTTTACGGTATCGCTCCAGAAGTGCCTCTAAAGAAAAACAAAGTACCTAAAAATCCCATAAATATGGTAAAGCTTAGAAATAAAAACCAAGACAAAATATCTCCGAAATAGGCGAATCCGAAATAAATAGCTCTATTATTATTATTAAAAATTATATATATATATATATATAAAATATTATAAAAATCCTAATTTTTTTATATGTTCTCTTTTATTATAACAAAAAAAACCGATTTTTATTATAATAAATATGGAAATATATAATTGATTTTATTTATGTTCTTCTATTAAATAAAAGCGAATTTAAAAATTATAGGATTTATAATATATATATTATTATATAACCCAAAAATAAAACTTAATAAAGCTGATAAACCAATAATAGCCAAAGCTATATATATTTAAAATATATAATTTTAAATTTCATTAATATAAATAGCAGTTTCAATTTATTTTTAATATGTTATTTCTTTCGGTACGCAAACTGTATCTTTGAGAAATGTTTCGTAAATCAAAAATGTTTAATTTGGATAATGCGAATTATTATATATGCAAGATTTTACATTTGAATTTGTAGCACATTCAATTTTCTAACCTTCCATGTTTTTTTGTAAGTTATTAGGACATTATTTTATACAAACTGTATTTGTTAAGTAATTTTTATCTGGATTTGCAAAATATATAAATGGATACTCTTTAAGAGTTTTTTTTCCACATGCTCTGTCTAATATTTTTATATAAAATATTAAAAAATAACTATTATTATTTACGATCAGGATCCCTTGGGGTTATGAATTCTTATATTTTATTTTCATGTTTAAATATGTTACTAAAAATTAAAAAGTAATACAATAAAAACAATGTAAATATTATGAAATATATTAAATCGTGACATTTTCGATCTTTCGAAGGACCGTTTTTTAAACTTACAGCAGATAATTTTCCTTATTCAAACTGATCATCATCATTATTCTATACTCCTAAAATCAAATCGTTTTTTTATAAGCCAGAAGCTGGTAAAGGAAAATCATATTATTATTAACTCATATAAAAAATTGAATTTATTATTAATTTATATAAATATTTGTTTATTTATTTAAAATAAACATTAATTTTATTTATTTATTTTAAAAATTAATTGATATTTTTTCTGATTATATTTATTCAATAAAATATAAAATAATAAAATAATTAAAAATAATTAAAAATATTAATTATATTTAAATAGTTATAAATATTAATTTATTATAAATTTAAATATTTTTTTAATAAAGAATAAAATAAATTATTTAAATTAAAAAATTATTTAAAATTTTTAAAATTCTTTATTCAATATTAAATAAAAAAAAATATATATATAAGGAAATTTATTTAAAATATTTATATAAATTTTAATATCAAATACATAATAATAAAAAAAAAAATATATAAATTTAAAATAATAATATTATGTATTTTTTCCAGAATTATTGTTTCAAAAAAAACAAATAAAAAAATTATATAAATATAAATATAAATATAAATATAAATATAAATATAAATATAAATATAAATATATATATATATATTTATATATATATATTTATTATCATTATTATTATTTCAATTATATTAATATAATGTTTTATAATTTAATATATATATTTTTTTTTTATTTATTATTATTTCATTTTTTTTTTTTATAATACTTTTACTTAATATTTTAAATATATTTATTAAAAAAAAAGTTTCTATTTATTATAATATTTTTTTTTTCTTATAATATATTTAAAATAATTTAAATTACTTTTATATATTTTTTTAATTATAAAATTTTTATTTTTAATTATATATTTTTTTTTTTATTTCTTTTTTTATTATATTTATTTTTAAATAAAAGTTTCATAAAATAAGTATATTTTTTTTAATTAAATTTTATTAATTAATTTCTTTTTTTTTATAGAAAATTTATACTTTTATATTAAATAGAAAATTTAAATATAAAATATTTAAAATAAAATACTATAAATATTTTCTAATATAAATTATAAAATTTTATATATATTAAAAAGTTTTTATAAAGCATATAATCTTTAATACAAAATTACATTAGTATGAGTATAATTTAATCAAATTAATTAAGATAAAAAAATATTTCAAAAAGTGATAATTAAGATATTCCATTACTTACTAATTAATCTAATAATTAAATCGATAACAATATATTATTAAGCAATAATTTATAAAAAAGTAAAAATGATTAATTTATAAAGTCATAAAGTAGTATACAAAAAGAAGAAAATATAAATAATATTTTGGGTTCATTAAAAAAAATTGAAGAGTAAATGTAATAAAATCATCACAAAAACATAGAATAAAAAGTTAATAAAATATACCTGAGGAAAAGTAAAAAAAGCCAAAAAAGAGAAAAGATTAAAATCGTGATTATAGTGAAAGTCGTTTAAATAAAATAAAGGAAATCGAAAATTTTTTATTGGAATTAAATCCTATAATTCCTGAAAAAACAGGAATAATTCAAGATGTAAAATTTTTAGATGAAAAAAATTTACATGCAGGAGATTTCGTATTTTAATTGTATAATCCTGACTATCATGAATTCAAATATGGAGAGAAAATAAAAATATTTGATATCAACATTATTGAATAAATTGAAAATATTAAAGATGGAATAGAAAAAGAAAAAGATACATTTGTTATATTATCATAAATTACAGAAATGTGCTAATTAGCTTTTCATGCAGAGACTAATTTCGAATCTTAAAAAAATGAAAATGAATTAATTACTTTAGCTTTGTATAGAATTGTTAAAAGAATTTCTGATTACAATAAGGCTAGGTAAAAAGAATTAGACAAGTTAAAAGAATTTGAAACTGAATAGTTAAAAATGATTAAATTTACAAATGAAAAACTTGGTGTTTTTGAGAAAATGATAAAACCTCCAGAAGATAGAAAAGCAAATATGAAATATTATAAAAAAAATTGTATTGTAGATGATAATGGTAAGGCTAATTATTTAAAAAATTAGATTTTTATTGAAGGAGGAAATGGTGAAACTTCAAAATAATTAAATAGTGGCTATTTATATTATGATGAGAATAAAAAATAATGGTTAAGAACAACTAACCCAGTAAATGATTTAACAACACTATTTAGAAATTTTATTATTTATAAATTAACTTAATAAGGTGGATTTAAAGTTAGATAATTTATTTCTTCTTGCGGAGAATACATTTTTCTCGTTATTTATTGCTCATATTTAAATCTTAAGGTTTAGGCATCTATTAGTTCTTTAAATAAATAGTTATCATATTGCTAAACTGATATTTTTTCATTAGAGCCGACTGATTCAAGGTTAAGGCCTTTAAGATTGAATAATATAATAAAAATAAATTAAGAAAATGAAAACGTAAAGAAAGTTTTAGAAGAGCTTAAAAATTAAAGAATAAAAGAAAGGTTTACTAAAGAAATCGAACCATTGGAAAATTCATTTTTATTAACTAATTATGAGGAATTTTTAGAATAAAAATAAAATAAAATAAAATATTAATATTAGGCTGATGAACTTGAATATAAATATTAAAAAAAAAGGACTGTTTTTCTAGAAACTATTGAAACTTTAAAAGAAAATATTAGAAAATAAGTTACTGAAGAACTTAATAATTAATCACAAAGTATAGTTTTAGGAAAAAGCTCATAGAGTGATTAAAAAGAAGATTAAGAGCTTGAAAATCTTAAAATTGAAATTTTTAAACTTTTATATTCTATTAATTTAAAAAAGTTAAGCTTTGAAACTTAATGTTCTTATATTGAAAATACTGAAGAAATATAAGGTATTTATTTTATAATTTATATTTTTTTGGTATTTTAAAAATATTTTTTTTTTTTCAGAAAATTAAGATGAGAATATATAAGTTTTTAAAGCATATAGAGATTATTTAATAATCTTTAATGATAAAATATAATAAATAAGAAAATAATTCGATGATAATAATTATCTTGAAATATCATTTTATGAATTATAAGAAATATTTTCATTTAAAATAAAACAGTCAGAAGTTGAAATAAAAGACAGGTTATAAAAAGATAAAGCATTTATAAAAAAAAAAATTATTTTAATCGAAACTGGAGAAAAATTTCATTTATTAGTATATATATATATAAAAAAAAAAAAAAAAAAAAAAAAAGACTGCCAGCCTAATAAATAAAGCAATTTATATAATTTAAAATGCAATAATAACTTGAAAAAGCATTTATAAGTTCATTAGAAGAGTCAAAGAAAAAATAATTTGGGAATAACATAAAGACAATATGGGATAAATATAATATAAAGTATAGTCCAATATACACAGAATATTTATATACTTCATAAAAATAAAAAGTACGAAATCGTATAAAATACGAAAATTTATGGAATAAAAAAGTCATTAATATAGACGAAAAATACGACTTGTTTACAAAAATGTAAAGAATAAAAATAACTTATTCAATTTTGGTTAGATTATTTGACTTTTCGAAATTAAAAAATAAATATAATTTAATTCATAACTATTTCCCATTACATGATTAGTTTATGCTTACCGGAAACGATATATATTGTGAAATGTTTTATTAAGCCTGGTTAAATTAAAAAAAATAGGAATTTCTTTTAAAATATGATTTAGATGATCATAAGCTTGAAGAAAACGGAGAGTCTATAAAACTAATAAAAAACAAAATATTTTCAGAGGAAATTTACAAAAAAGAATTCGAATAAAAAAGAGACTTATTTAAAAAAAACTGCCTTCTGTAAATATGGAAAGGAACTTTTAATTACTATGATATTCCTTAGAAGGAAATAAGGGATTATTTTGGGGAAAAAATTGCACTTTATTTCACTTTTTTAACCTTTTATATTAAATTTACACTTCCTATTGCATTTTTAGCACTTCCAGTATTCATTATTTAAGAATTAAATATTGGAAGTAGTGATGAGAATGAAGATGATGGATTACTTGAATAGTCTTTTTCGATTATTTTTACACTTATTGTTGTTTTATGGGCTAATATTTTCTGTGGTTAATGGAAATTAATAGAAACTTAATTCGTTTTGAAATATGGTATGTAGGATATTGACGATGATGATAATATAAGGTTTAATTATTATTTTTTTTTATTTATAATATTTTTTTAAAAATATAAAAGACCAGGGTTTAAAGGATAATATGTAAGATCAATAATATCAAATAAATTAAATGAATTAAGTTATGATAAAAACGAAACATTAAAGATTGAGTTTTTGACTTGGGCCATTATATTTATTGTAATGATAGTTAATACAATTATTATATATGCATTATTGTATTTATAAGTATTTTTCGATAAATACAACAAAATCGATTAGGGTAAAAGCTTTTAAGCCTTAAATATTTTAGTCCCTACTCTTATTTTATAATTAATTTATAGTATTTTTGAATATTTTTATCATTTTTTGATTGGAAAATCATGTGAACTAGCTAATTATAAAACTTCTTAAGAATATGAAGATAGCTACTCCTCTAAAATTTTCATTATAACACTTTTCAATCATCTTATTCCTCCTACTTTAATTTCTTTTATCATAAATCTTAATATAAGATGTGTTTAAGCTGATTGCATGTTTCATCTTAAAGGATATGTCAGATCATATCAATATTATTTAATTCTTAAATAATTAAAAGATTGTGCTATGCCACTTTTTTACAGATTTTATATTTTTGCTAAAGAAATCAATATTACAATTAGAAGAAATCTTGGATTAAGCAGCACCTAAATTATAAACGAAAATACCAAAATAAATAATTAAATTGAAACTGAATCTAGATAAAGTTATATTTTTTTATATAAAATTTAATTGTTTATAAATATTAAAAAAAGAATCAAATACAAACGAATAAATTGATAATACAACAAAAGACTATATAAATTTAATTTGTTATTTTTGTTTTAATGTTACTTATGGTTTAGGTTTTCCTTTAGTTTTCATATTAAGCTTTATTATATGTATATTGAAATATTAAGTAAGTAAAAAAATATATACGAAATATGCCTAAAGGCCCATACCTGAAAACGCCAAAAGTATCGGAATTTTTAAATAGTTTTTAGATATGGGATCTTCACTTTCGATTTTAACTTATTCAGGAGTGCTTTGTTTTACTACAAATAAGAGCTTTCCTAATGGTCTTTCGAGATTATTTGTATTTATGTTGCTTATATTATCTTTCTTTTCAATTAAGTTTATTATTAATAGATTTTATGACGATGTGGATAGAAAAACTGGAGATTTAATGAAAAGATAGGAATATATTGTTAAAAAAGTTGTTGAAGGTTATAAAAAGGGAGTCTAAAAAATTTTTCAAGGAGATTAGGTTTAACCTTTATTTAAGGTTTATGGAACATATTTGGAAGATTATAATTAGTTAAAAAAATGATTTATTAAAATAATATAAATATATTTTTATAAAAATAAAAAGATATATATAAAATATATATGTATTTATCTTTAGAAAATATTTTTATTTTAAATCTTTATAATCTTTATAATCTGTCATTTTATCAATCAAGAAGTAAGTAAAGCTTCTTTTAAACCATCAGTATAATTTGAAAATTATCTTTAATCTCTAGCCCCAAAAATTTCTTTAAATGCATCAATAAATATTTATAATGTACTTTCTTCTTTATGGATGAATTTAATTTCAGTTAAAGAAATGTTTTTTGTATCATCTTAGATTTCTTAAATAATTGCATTTTTCAAAGCTAAAGCTGTTTCTTGTTTTGGAATTCCAAAAAGCAATGAAGCCACATCTGTAAAGATTACGGATTAAATATTATTTTATTTGCAATATTATAAAGCTTTTTAAAAGCATTATTAAAGTTAATTTTGTTCATCATTTACTCCACCTTTCCATACAGGAACAAATAAATGGATTATTTTTTGAACATTTTATAATCCACAAGATTCTGTTATTTCAATTTCTCCGGTTTAAAAAGGGTCTTCTGTTTATTTTTTTTATAACTCTGAATGAAGTTTTAGATTATGTCCTTTTACAGAAAGGAATTAAAACGATTTTTACCATAATTATCTGTTCCTGATACTATTGCTTGCGATTTTTCCTTTGTTATGTCTCCTACTTTTATATGTATTATTGTGTTGTTTATTTTTTATGTATATTCAATAGAAATATCATTTGTTTTTTAATCTTAAGGCGAGTATTTTTGCCTTGCAATTTCTTTTTCCTTTACACATAAGCAACCCATATATTATTTTTTTTAAGATTTTTTGTTATTAATTTTTTTTTATTTTATTTATTTTTAAGAATTTTTTTCTATTTTTGATTCTATTTTTTTATAAATATAAGTTTTCACATATTTTTGGTTCTCATTCTAAATAAACTTAAATAAGTATAAATTTATAATTTAAATGTATATTATAGTGAAATATATTATTTAATATATAAGTATAAATATATTTTATAAATAAATTTGATTTTAATAAATAATATTAAAAGTAAAATAAAAATAATTTAATATATTAATATTTTTTATAATTATAATTTAAAATATGTATATTTACACTCATAAATGCATTTGATATTTTCAAATTTACAAATAATTAAATAAAGAAATAAATTAATTTAATGTAGTTTTTTAAAAAAATAGTATTCATAGGTGATATTTTGTAATAAATCAATTAAATTATTTTTTTACAAATAAAAATTAAAAGAACTTTTTTAGAAATATTTTATATTTTATTTTTAAGAAATAATTTTCATTTTTTTTAAAAAAAAAAAAAATATCAAATTTTTTATTTTCTATCTTTTATAATGGTAAGAAGATTTAAACTAAACGTTCATTATAACTATTTAATATAATCAGATTATTAAATCATCCGGAAGTAATAAAACTAGAAGAAATATTTAATGAAGAAAATATATAATTAAAGAAAATTTATACAATTTTAAATAATTTTAAAAGATAAAAAAAATCGATAATAAGGAATATAATAATAAACATTATTATTAGGATTATTTAAGGATTATAGAATTTTAATTCAGGTTAAAAATACTCCTTAACATTTAACTTAAAAGTATTTGTAATTATCAGAATGTATTTATTGAAATTGGGTAATATCATAAAGCATATTTATTAATAAATAAATTTTATATGATATATATCGTAAAGATTTCATCGCATTCACGATGTCCTTTTATGAGCTCCTTAATATAATTAAATAATTAATATTTTAGTTTTGGGATATATTGTAGCCGAATTATAGTATTTTTTATAATTATTTATAAATATAAATAGATATTTTAACCTTTTATATAAGGAAAATCTAATATTTATTAATTTACAAATATTTAATATTTTTGGAATGCAAGAATATAAGATTATCCTTACTTCTTTAAAAAAGTAAATCAATTAATTTATAAACAAAGGATATCAAAAAGAACTTGAAAAAAAAATTCCAAAAGCAACCAAATAAATGAATTATTAATTTAATGTATTTTTATATTATTAATTTTTATTTTTAATAAAAAAAGTCTTTGTTATTATTCTTCAAAAAAGAATTAATATTGGTTAAGTTCTGGCTCATCCATTTTTAAATATTTTAATTCTTAATAATATATATAAAATATTTTTTAATCAATAAAAATTTAGGTATAGAAAACAAAAGATATAGAAAGTGTATTATTAGATATATAGAAAAAAAATTACCTCTTTTCGTGATCATAAATATTTTTTTTTTTTAATTTCTTTTTAATATTTCCCATATTCCCTTATTAAGTTTAAATTATATTATTCATTATTATATTTCAATAATTATTTAATTATATTTAAGTATAAAATTTGTCTTTATATTTTTTATATATTTAATAAAAAAATTTTTTATATATATATTTTTAAAATTAAATTTGTATAATTTTAAAATAAAATGTATTCATTTTCTTTTTATAATCACTAATGTTTTTAAAAAAATTGATTGAATATTATTTTACAGCAATTTTATATATTTTTATTTTAAAAGAATTTACATAAAGGATTTTACTATATTCATTATATTCTTTATTAAACTAAGTATGAAAAATAAAAGGATATAAGAAAAAACTCATAGAAAGTAGAATTGCTTTTAATATTTTGGATATTGAACGGGTATTTAATAATAATGTTAAAGTGAAATCTAATTTTTTAAAATTCAACACAATTAGTTTTCCATTAATTGATAAACAAAAAAAAAAACTTTTAAATTAATATTTTGCTTTAATTTTGAAATAAAAAACTAAAGATATCATTTTAATGAAAAAAAAAACATTAAATATATTTTTATTTATTATTGAATTTAACTATAAAAAAAATATTTTTAAGATTAAAAATTATTAAATCAAAACATTAGAAAAAATTATTTTTATATATAAAATATTTTATTTTATTATTTTCTAAATTAAATTATTTATCTTAAAATATTTAATCAAATAATATTTTACTTTCTATTAAAAGGATGATATTCCAATTATTTTTAATCTAATCCATTATAAATATTATTTTTATCCCAATATTATTTTTAATCTAATTTATTTATTCTTTCTTTTTCACTAAATACTAGAAAAATAAATTAAATTTAAATTATAAAAATATAAATTATAACATTTATTAGATTCTTCTTTTGATGTAGGGCAGAAAGAATAATTTTTATCTCCCTATTAAATAGTTTAGTCAATATTAAACATCGCATTTTATAATTAATATATAGCATTAACAGGATAGACCATCCCGATAGTTTTTGGATCTTTAAAAGTTTTTTCTTCTATAGCTGAAGTCTAATTTTTTTCTTCCAACGTTTTATCCCTTTAATGCTTGAGTCCTCTAAATGCTGAAATTCTAGTTTCGTTTTCTTATTTTATTTTAACAGGTTAACTTACAGGTGTAAGTATTGGTTTTTCTCTTAAAGCTTATTTTTTTATTATTATTTTTTTATATAAATCTAAAAAAAAAAAAATACTTTTTTCAAATAGTTTTTATTTCAAAAATGAATATACTGTATTAATTTTTTTATTTATTTATAAATTCTATTGATCATTATATGTTTCTTTTCTTATTATTGCTATTGCATTTATAATTATTTAAAATCCATCTTAATAATTGGCTGCTTCTATACATTTTTCGGCCGCATCTAATAAGCCTTTCTTTTCTTTGTAATTTTTATCTTTTTTTGTTTTTTTAAATAATTTTTATTTATCATTATTTTTACTTTTCTCTCCTAATGCTTTTGAAATTAATTCTTTTGTTTAATTTATTTTTATGTTTACTGATAAATTATATTTAAGGTCTTATTTTTCAATTTTAACATAATTTAATGCAAGTTTTAACAAATAAATTGCATCCTTTTTATTTTAATCAATAATTAAAGGATCAGTTTCTTTTTTATTTTTTATTTATTTTTTTAAAAAAAATATAATAAAAATACCTTCTCTACTTAAAATGCCTATAGCTTAATCATATAATTCTATTTTACTTAATATTTTTTTTTATTATTTATAAATAATAAAAATGTAATATGTATATTTTTACGTATTTTTAAATCTGAATAATTGATGCATTTATTTATTATTATTTTCATTATTTTTTTTCTCATCATCTTAATAATCTTCATAATCTTCCTCATCTTGATCTAAATCTTTTTTTTTTTTTCCTATTAATTATTTTAAACATTTTCTTAATGTAATATTAAAAGGATCTTCTTCTTAATCTGGTTCGTTTTCTTTAATTTCAGATACTTTGTTTATTACCTTATTTGCTTCTTCTATATTACCTATATGATTTTTAGATTTTTTTTTTTAATTATTGAAGAATTAAACATATTTACTTTGTTTAAATAAATAATAAGCTTCTTCAGTCATAGATTCTTTTCTAACAAAATAAAAAATTTAAAATATTTTTTTTTAAAATATAATATTTTATTTACTGTTAAATATAAGAACTTTTCGTTTTTTTAACTTCATTTTGTTTTTCGGTTTTTTCAGCTATATCAATTCTATCAATTTTATCAACAATTTCAGCTTATTCAAGTAGTTTTTATTGCTCATCAATATTAAAATGTAAATAAACAAGGTCTTTATATTTGGTTTCTAGATATTTTTTTATACTAAGATATGTTTATTCTATTTAATAATTTAATTAGTCATCTTTTTTATAATTAACATCAACTAATTTAACTGCATTTAAAATAATTTCGAAAGCCTTATTATGTTATCCTGAAAAATATATATTCATATATATATATATATATATATATATATATATATATATATATATATATATATATATATATATATATATATATATATATATATATATATTTATTTTTAAATCAATTAAAACCTTAAATTAATAAAATATTAGTTTTATTTAAAAGATGTTTTTTTTTATCTGAAATAACATGTCTTTTTTTTTTTTATTTAACTTTAGATAAATAATTTTCTTTTTTTCTGATTTTTTCGTTTGTTTTTTTAGAAGCTAATCTAAATAAATTAAATATTTCTTTATTGGTTTCTTCCATTTTACAGAAATTACATAATCCGCGTCCATAACAAGGCTCAAATTAGTCTCCTGAAGGATTCCAGAATTTAAAAAGTTTAATTTTTTCACATTCTACTATTGCATTTTTTAAATTTTTTATTAGTTTTTCAGGACGGACTAATAAAAGTTCATTCGCAGAATGCGCATATCTACAATTTTTGCCTCTAGGACATCTTCCAGATGTTTTTAAAGTCGGACACATCTTCGTTTTCGCCTTGTTTAGAGTTATTTTTAACCTTTTTTCTCTTAATTTGTCTTCAACTTCTTCTTTATCCATATTTTCGATGTCTATATTTATATCTACAGGTTAAATTTCATCACCAAAATCTTAATTAGCATCCCTTTACTCAACCATTTCTTAAAGTTCTTCGAGCTCTCCGATTTTCTTTTTCATTAAATTAACATTTGAATCACCGTGATTTAATTTTAGTTCTATTTTCTTATACATTTCTTCGATTTAATAGTTTATAAATTCATTAGCGCTATGTTTCTTTTAACCTATTAACCCTGTTTTTATACCATATAAATGAAGTTTTTAAACTTCTGTTTTTTCTTCACTTTTTTATGTTTAAGCTAATAATATTGTATCAGCAGTTATTTCATTTCCTTTTAATTTTTATTTTGTATATTTTATATATTTTTTATTTTGAATATTTTTTTTTATTTATTTTGAGAATATTATATTTTTTTATTTTATTAACCATAAGATTCTAGTTGTAATTGCTTTTTCCATTTTTCTTATAGTTTTTCACTATCATGTATTTCTTTTTCTACTTCATTTTGTACTACATCTATTGCTTTACTAATTACATCAAAAGCTTCATTGTATCTTTCTTTTATTAAAATAATAAAAAATTGTAATTTAAATAAATACATAATTTGTAAAATATAGCCGCTTTTTATAAACAGCCTAATTTAAAATTCAAAGAATCGCATGCAATCTATTTATTTATTTATTTTTCTTTAAAAGATTTTCTTTAGAAGATTTTCTGATTTGAAATTTTAGTAAACTTACTCAATTATAAAATAATGTCTTTATTTTTTGTTCTGAATTTGCATTCAGAACAAGCAGTTTTTTAACTACAGCCTAAACATAATTAAAATTTATTTCCTGCAGGATTCCAAGCTTTTTATTTTGGTTATTACATTCCCTTTTAAGCAACAGTCATTAAAAATTTGAACAATATTTGCTTTTTTGATTCTATTTCTTTTTAAAATTTCAATTCTTATATAGTATGGGCAAACGGGCAATTAGCTCCTATTGGAACACATGTTTTAACATTACTTATATGCCATCTTGGTCCTACTATACCTGGACATTTATTCCTTTTTTTTTTTATTGTGGTTATTTTATTTTTTATTTTTTATTTACCCTAATGGACACATTATGCTTTTTACTAATTCTCTTCGAGATGCATATGTTGAAACTGTAATGTTTGAGAATTTACTTGTTGAAAATTTACTTTGAGATTCTAATTCTTACTATATAGTTTAATATTTTTAATTTCGTATATTACTTTTTAATAATTTTTTTACTTAATTCTTTTTGTGCAAACTTTTTTATTTTTCTTCAAGCTTTTTATTTTTTTTTAATAAATTTTTTTATTTATTTTTACTTCTTTTTTTTCTCTTTCATTTAACAAATTGTTTTCTTTTTTTATTAATAATAATTAAATTTCTTTTTCCTTTTTCTTATTAATTAGATTGAAAAAATTATAATTTATTTATTTAATATTATTTATTTTCTTACAACTATTTCTTAATCTTTTTAAGCTAATGAACTGCTTTATTATTAATCTTAAGATTATTTAAGCATATTTTCAAGTTATTGTCTTTTTTCTTCTTTCTAATCCTTTTACTAATTTTCTTAATTATTGATTTCTTATTAAGAAGCTTTCTAAAATAAAAAAAGTAAAAAAGTTAAAAAATTAAAAAATAAAAAAAACCTTCATTTTAATTTTATATTAAGTAATAATATTTTTTTTATCTTCAGGTAATCTTTATTCAAACAAATGAATTTTTTTAATAATATCTCTTTCATATGCTTCCATATACTTTATAAAAAAATAATATTATATATATATATATATATATATATATATATATATATATATTTATATATATATATTTTAATAATTAAATAATTAAATAAAAATACCATCAGTTATTAAAAAACTTCTTGTAAAAGTTCCTTATTTTTAGGGTTATCGAAATTTTCTTTAGGAAGCTTTTCTTCTTATAATTCCTTTTTTCCCATTTTCTCAAAACTAAACATAGAAGTAGGATCATCCTGAAGAAATTTAGTTACATTAGGATTAAAATGTTAAATAATGCATTTTATATGAAATCTATCGCATAAAGCGGAATAAGCATCTGCAAACTATTCATTTTAAATTAAAAACCAACATTTTTTAATTATCCCTTTTCTAAAAATAATTAAATATAAATTAATATTTATAAATAATTTTAAATAATATGAAATATATATAAATATTATTATTATTTTACTTGAATAGCCAAGGAAACTTCGATTAGAAATTATCACCCATTTTTTTAACAGCTTCATCAAATCCACCTGGTTTTTCCAAAAAAGCGATATTACTGGAAAGTTCTTTTCTGACTTAATCAAATACAGCTTTTCTTCTTTTGGACATTCTATAGCCTACACATGGATTAAAAGTACAATTTTGAGCCTCTTCGAATTTCATAAGTATTTTTTATCTCTCTTCTACATAAAGTTGATTATCCCAAACATTTGTATTAGGTTTATCTTTTTCCCAATTAATCTCCATAAATTCATGTGATAATTTATATATTTTCTCATTTAAAGTTCTTTGTTGTAAATTAATAGAAGGAGGAGCCCAAAAAGGAAGTCTTATTTTTTTTCCTTTTCCGAGATTTGTCCTACAATAAACTCTAACAATATCAAAGAAATCCCTTTTAAATTAAGGAGGAAAAGGTAGCCAACTTAAACTAGGTTTTTTTTTTTGGTTTCTTCATATTTAAATAATGGATAATTTCTTTCCATTGCATTTTTATAAAGTTTTTTTAATTCCTTTTTTTTTTGTTTATATATTTTTTTTTTTTTATGTTTTTTTTTTTTTTTACATAAAATGTTGATGATACAAAAACATTTAAACCTTTTTATTATAATTCTCTTGTTTTTTTTCTACTTTTTCTCATTTCAATAAATTTTTTTGCTGCTTAATTTAAATATCTTAACATTTATTTATTTTCTCTACTTATTGTTTTTTATTTTTGAAGAAGTTCTCTTATCTAACAAGATTTTTCGTTTTAATAAGTTTCTAATTTTTCTTTGAAGATTTCGCTCAAATCATCTACTTTTTCAGCCCTTCTTTATTCGAAAATTTCATATACGTTTTCAGGAGTTATTCTTTATTCTTTAGTTTTTCTCTATTTTACTTTATCTTCTTCATCAGAATCAAATACATCATATTCTAGAGGAAATTTACTTAATCGATTTTCTTTAAATTCTTAAATAATCATTTCATTTAAAATTCTATCTTTGGAAAATTTAGAATGAAGTTCTAACATTGTTTAGCCACTTTTAAATTTATCTTTTGGTTTTTTAAGTTCTTCTAATTTAGTTTTTTAAGGCTTAAATTCTTCTTTTCCAAAAACTTTTTTGTTAAGATATTTTTTCTTTTTAACTTCTATTTCTTGTTATATCTTTTCTTTTTCCTCTTCTTCTGTTTTAATTTCTTTTAATAAAATTTCATAATATTCTGTAAGTAAGTTTTCGAAATTTTTCTTTCCTTCGAAATTCACATATAAATTGCTTTTATTTCTATCTTCCATTTTTTCCCAATATTTCATTAATTATTCAATTGGATTTTAATTTTTTTAAGGTATATACCCATATTATTACTCATAATATCTTATATATCCAAATATAACGTCTTTAAAGTACAATTAAATATCCTTTTCAATGACTTCTTATTAGTGTTTACTTTTTTTTTTTTCTTAAAGATCCTTGTTCGACTCTTCTACTACAAAACTTTCTTTTAAGCACTTGTCTACATGTTCTTTTTTTCCAGTCATTTTTCTTGAGTATTCCTTTAGGTATTAGGGATTTCTAAAATATTCGTAAGGTTTTTTCTCTCCTCCATTAATTTCATAAAGTTCTGTATCTTTATCCAATTAGGATTTTATGTAATCATCTATAATTCCATTTGTTAATAATACTCTGTATTTTTAATCATATTTTGGATAATCTTAAGGATTATAATTTAAAACTTTTTGTTCTTTTTAATCTTTTTTATTATTATAAAGCCTATTTAATGTATTTATTATATTCACTTTTTTGCTCTTTTCCAATTCTTTGCTTTTTCGGAATTTATCATAGTCTTTTTCAAAGTATTTAGTTATTTTCATCTCTTAAAAATTTTCTTTTTATTATTATTCGCTGTGTATTTTTAATGTATATTTCACACTATCTTCTTTATAATCAACCATTGAACGCAAAATTCGTGCTCTTTTTTCTTTATTCAAGTATACTTTCTTTTATAATTTAGTTTTTTATATGAAAAAATAAAATGTATTTATAAAATAAAATACCTCTTTTTCAGTTAAATCTTTATCATCTTTATCTAATAATTCTTAAATAATTTTTTATTTTTAATCGTATTCTTCTTTTTCTTTTTTTGTGCGTAATCTTGCGTATTCATTTTTGAATTTTATTAATTGCTAATTTTTTTATTTTGTTTATTTTGTTAATTTATTTTTTTTACTTATTTTCTTAAAGTTTTATAAAAATCGAATAAAACATTAGAATCATGTATTTTTACTTTATTTTTCTCAGTATACTCTTACTATTTTTTTTATATTTATAGATTACATTTTTTATTTTTTATTACCTATATTGCTGTATAAAATTCTATTCCTAAATCTTCATAATTTTCAGCTTCGTTTTATATACTAAATCCTCCAATGTTATTATTTGTTTAGTCAAATTTACTTTATACTAAGTCGTCAGAATCATAGTTATCATTATATTATTGGCTTTGTTTTTTTTAATATATTAATTTATATTTTTTAAATATAAATAATTTTTTATTTATTGTTTTTTGTTTAATACCTTTATAATATATTAACTCCAGCGAAATTTTCAATTCTTTACTTATCCATATTTATCTTATAATACTTAAATTTTGTTTTTTCGATGTTTATAAATTAGTATTTTAAATAAAAATATTTATATAATTTTTTTTTTTAAATTTAAATAATATTAATATTTATTTATTTTTATTATTCATTATGAAAGTTACTATTTTTAATTAAAAAAAATAAGAAAAAAGGTTTAGAAAAAATATTTTTAACAAATAAATAAAACATGAATCAAATAAAATCACATATTTATCAATTTAGTCAATTTTAAAAATTAGTTCTTGAAAATTTCTATTTTTATTTCTATTATGAATAAGTTATTAAATTTATGTACAGTCAAATAAATTAATAAAAATATTAAAAAAATAATAAACTAAAATTATAACCATAAATATATTTAGATTACAAATAAAATGTCTAAATTAAATAACTATTTTTATCTTATACAAATAAAAAAAAAATATATTAAATATAAAGTAGTCATTTTTATTTATTATATATTTAAACTTATATTTAAACTTATATAAATTAAAATTAATATATCATATTTATTAAAAAATAAAATTTACAAGGTCTTAATAAGTATAAAATTACTAAATGAAAATTAATGATATTTGTAAAATCAAACAAAATCAAAATAAAAAAAAGATATATATACAAATTAGTTTCTTACAATATAGTAATATCTGAAATTTTTCAAACTAATTATTATAAATAAAAATTAACTAAATATAATTTTAATAGAATTTAATAATTAAAGCAATAATATTTTTTTTAATTAAATGAAATAATAATAAAAAAAATAAAAAATATTAGATTACAAAAGCATAAAAGTCTAGCTAATTCTTAAATATAATTGATATATAAAAACATAAAATTATAAATTAATACATTCATATATATCTATTTATATAAAAATATAAATATATTTATGTAAAATTGAATATTTATAAAAATAAAATATATATATATTTTTTTTATATATTTTGATATATAAAATTATTTATATATAT